TAAAATTGAGATATTTTATTGAAAGAAATGCATCATCAGACATAAACTTATATGGAGTGTCAGATTGGTTAAATATGACATTTTAAAGAGGGCCAATATATGTTATCCATTGCTTGTTTGAGCAAGAATACTTTGTCAAATATTGTTAGTATTGCAAATTTCATAGTGAATGGATATCCAACAACAACTACTAATCTGAGGAAACCTAAGGAGGTGGACAAATCATTCTACAAGTTATTCAATTTTAAGGGTGATGGTTGTTCCACTTATGTTCATGTTAAATAAAGCAAGCATGAACCCAAAAATAAAAGGTGCATATTTCTTGGGTATGTAGAAAATGTAAAGGGATACAAACTTTGATGTACTAATGCGAAGTCAATTGGATTACTAATTAATATAGGTCAACTACTATGAATCAGACATGCTTCAACATAAGTCAATGCAAATTAAAGATTGAGAAGGAGGTCAAATAATAAAGCTTTACAGAATTGAAGGAGCGTACACAAGCCGATCTTAAATCACTGCAGCAACCTATTGAGCCTGAATTTCACGAGAAGATGACACAATCACAATCAGAATAATTTTTTCTTCATGCAGAACCTATATATTGAAGCACCCAAGATATTTGGTTTTGATGATCTCTCTTGTTCTCCAAATATTGTTTTTTCTCCAAGTGTAACAGAGAATATTGATATCCAAAAGTCATCTACTTTTGAGGATGCTATCAATGGAAGAGAATCAACAGTGAATCACAATTATGATAGAAGAGTTAGAATCCTTGTAAAAGAATGAGATTTAAGACCTAGTTTAACTCTCTGAATGAAATAAAAAGGTTGCTCGCAGCAACATAAACTTCGGGTGCCAAGATGGAAAAAAAAGTGAAGATTTCAAGGAAGCACGATTGAATGACTTTTTAAGAAAAATGTCAATCTTATTCTCTCTTCAAGGATTTGTAACCTTGTAAAGAAACTTTCAAGCCTTCAAAATTTTTGCAGTTATCCCTATAAGAAAGCTTTTACGTCCACTCTGAAAAAAACATTTCAAATCTTCCAAAAAGCTCATTCACATCAGAAGTTATAAGATTCAACCTAATGAGATGATATTGGGTGATACATTGTGATCCTCAATATTTTTCTCCCTATCTGCCTGACCATTATATTCGGAGTTCTCGTATATGGCAGTGATAGATGCAAGAGCACTGTCGATGGTTTGATTAATTATAACTTTCATTTAATTAGTTAATAAAACTATCACTGTTTGAATTGTTTGATACTTATCTTAACTAGGGTCCTTCATGTAAATATTTCGACCCTCACTCCTTCCTACCCCGCAACCACCCTTACTCCCTCACATTGCCCTAACATAATTTCCCTCACTCTCTCTCCCATTCTCTCCTCCCACACTCATTCCCTCAATCTTCCATTCATTCCCATTTGAATACATTATGGACCCGGATATCTACTCAAACATTTACGATCTATCCCTCTCTTTAAAAATTGCTTCTCTCCTTCCTCTCAATCCTTTTGGTCAATGTTATTCATACTAAACCCCTAAAATCATAATTCAAATTGTAAAATTCATATCTAGATGTTATCAAAATTATTCTGATGAAGTTTATAATCCCATCTCTTTTGTTGCAAAAGAACAACCCTTGGCAACCTTTCCAAACCCTAGAAACAACCAATCACATTCCAACACTTTTGAGATTCCACCTACTTTCATGTTGTGTTAATTAACAATAGGTAATATGACAAATACTTACGACATAGCATCATTGCGTGAAATTAATTGTCATAGCTTCAATATATTCTTTCAATTCAATGTTCATGCAAATGACTCAATGTTAGAAAACACCATTGTCCAATCTCTCCTTATCTACTACACTGCATCAATTGTCTTCTCATTTACAGCAAGTGGTTGACCCAAGACTTAAAGCTCCAGTTCATCTTCCAACTGTGGCATAATTTTTTTTTTTCCTTTTTTTGGTCAAAAAATTAGGGTTCTTACAAAAGGAGCAAAAATTTTCTCTTTTCTTTTTTATTGATTTCTTGAAATGCATTGGTACAAATATGGGTCCTAGGCACCCTTAAATGATAAGTGACAAAATGGAAGTAAATCATCATATGAACCTCTTAAGGAATAACGATAACAGGTCAAAACTTTATATGTCAAGGAATTTCATAGTTCTAGAGGCACAAGAATTGATTAGAGCTACTAGAAGACCATTATATATATATATATATATACCATTTGATTGCTAAATAAAAATGGATAATGATAGTATTAGTCTCAATAATAGTGTCATTATGTGCTTTTGATGTTTAAGAAAGATGGTTCATAGTGTTGCATCTCCAAAGTTAAGCAATCAAGTAACTCAAGATCAAATAAAGCTCTCCATATCCTTAATTTGAAGACATGTTTAAACTTTATGATAAATAACACTAGATATCTACAGTAAATTTTAAAAGGCCTTCTAAGAATATTAAGCATACACATGAGCTAAGCAGCATCAATCAGTCTTTGAAATCAAAAGAGCATTAAATGGAACAAGAACTGGGATCCTAAGGTTCGTTCAATTTAACTCTCTTAATAAGGTTTTCCTATAATGTGATAATTTCGAAGTTGAGGCAAAGCCACTATGTGCTCAATTCCTTGTTAAGTTGACAACTCAATTGGAGGTTACAGAGGTGCAATTGCATGAGTGACCACCAAATTTGTACCTTAGGAGATAGATAAGGATGAGAGTTAGTAATAGAGAAAATTTTCTAAACAGTTAATTGCTATCAAGAATCGGATATTGGTTTTCTTCTTCGAAACCTTTAAGACTTAAATGTGGGTTAAGTTATTATGGATTTGTATTTGAAAGAGATCTTAAGAATTACAAAGATATTTTCTTAAAAATTCTAATAGGTTTAAGAAAATATTTATACATTTAAAAACACATAAATATTTTAACTTCCACGGTTGATGATAGCAACATCATAGCACCAGTAAAAACTTACTAAAATTTGGACAACAACCATCTACAGGCCAACATAATAAATCAAATCTTGACAATCATGCTCAATCAAAGGTGGGGAAGTTCTATTAGAGCTTCTCTTAACCTTGAGATTTAATCATTTGATGGTCAACATAGAGTCAGAATCATGAAAACACCCTAAAAATTGTCACTTTACAAATCTTCTCATCATATCAAATTAATATGTGATGTAAAGGTTTCTCCAATAATACGATAAATTTCAAGTTGAGACCTAAGATAAATCTAATATGTGTTGCATTGCATATGAAGGTGAAAACTCAATAGGAAATTATAGAGATCCAATAGAATGAGCATCCAACAACTTATGTACCATATAAGCTCAGCATGGCACAAAGTTTTTCTGAATCTTAAGACGTAGAACTTTGAAATCATCTATAGAAGGAATTTTCTGAATGATGATTGCAATCTGGAATTGAAATTATTGACCATTCGCTTCAAAAGCTTTAGGGGTTGTATGGACAAAGATGACATTAAAGTTATTAGGATTTAGTAAATCCCGTAAATCCATATTTACTAAATCCTGAATGGTTTAAATCCAAAAAACTGTTTGGTAATAGATTTACTAAATCCTGTAAATCCAACATAACAGTTTGGCAAGTAAGTAGAACAAACCAAATAGCACTTCCTCCAAATCCCATAAATCCACTGATTTGTGGAATTTAGAAAATCCGAGATTTACAAAGGAAATCCGTGAAATCCATATTTGTCAAATCCGCGGTTATTTTTTGTCCAAAATGACTGTCTTGCAAGATTTAGCCTACAAACAAGTTAAATCCTGCTCTAAATCCGTTGCCTGACAACCCCTTAAGATTTAAAATTTTTAGCCCTTTTCTAGCTTGTTTTTTAGAAATATGCTTTCGAGTTATAAGAACGATCAATCTTAGTAAGTTTTATTTTTTTAAGATAATGTTTATGCCTTCATCTAAAACACACAAGCATTCATCTTCCATGGTTGATGACATCAACATCCAATAATCAAAGGAAACCCACCTAAATTTGGTCAATATCATTGATAGAAAATTGCAGTAAACCATCAAGAAGTTTTATTGACCCAAGCAACCTTAAAGGGCCTAGAATGCCTCAAGACCTTAAGATTTAATCTTATTATGGTTCTTAGATCTAAAATCTTGTTACTACCCAAAAAAGTTACACTTCAAAAGCCATCTCATTATATCAAATAAAGATATAGAAGATATTGGCCCCCTTCAATACATTGGAATTGAGAGCAATAGAGTGAATAATATGCACAACAACATCATAGACATCTTCTAAAATCAATTCATTATAATAACCAAATTATTTTTCAGTTTAAGTCAATATAATCACCAATGCTTTGCTTTAATACAATCTCAAAACAAATTGTAAAGTCTTAGCAGTTTTGAAATGTTGCTAATGTTTTGTAATAATTTCCTTGGGTTATAGTGTCAATTGTTTTGTCCCTCGAGAGATTTAGAAGTCCTCGGGAGTGATGAGTTGAAGATATTTCCACGTGTTCAATGCTTATCCATAAGCTTTTACTATGAAGTTCAGAACATTAAACCAATTGGTTTACATCATATATTAACCTGTTGACAAACAAATGAATAATTAAAAAAAAAAATGACTCAACTTGACACCTAACCACGAGTTCCTCGAATAATGTCAAATAGTCAGAAACCCTAAACAAACAAAAACATTTATGGTCGAGCAATTGTTTATCAATTAAATTTGCGTGCTAGCAAGTGGCTACCATACCAGCTGGCCACTTTGCCAAGGCTACCTAACATACCTTTTCTTTTTCCTCTCACTCTCTCCCCCTGAACCTCACTCACTGAAGATATCTATTTCACGCCAACCTATCTAACCCACCGTACTAACAAAATTAACTGCTCGTATAAAGTCAATCTAAACAACAGCAGGAAACAAGTAAAACTTCCATCTCAATCCAGGCCCATCAAAAATCAGACACAACAAGACGTACCTGGATTTCGAAACATCGTATATATTCCCTTTAATCGCCATCAGAAGAGGTTTCTTAGGATCCGATCCATCGTAAGCTCTCAGCTCCTCGATCGTCACATCCCCGATCTCGACAGGTTCGAGAGGTAATTCCGGCTCCGACACCACCGATCTACTCTCCGCCGCCGCCGCCGCCTCCACCGGCGAAACAAACATCCCACAGACCATGTGGTAGACGCCAACCATAACCGCCAGGATAGTAAAAAAGGCAACCGGCGAAAGCCCCGTGTACGAGTAAATCGTCTCTGCGACAGTCGAGTAGAGGTCCATGACTCCCATTGCCGGATTAGGGTTTTCTTCCTCGCCTTCACTCTGCTATTAGATGTTCTTGATGGTGGAAACTTCAGGGATTTCGATTTCTGAAGCGTCTCGATTGATAAAGCAGCAGCTGCGGTGGATCACAGGCAGCTACTGTGGCGGGAAAAAAGTGATCGAGAAGACGTACAGATTGGATTTTTCAAAGTAGGTCTTTATGGCCGAAAAATTTGTTGAATTCTGCGCCTAAAGTTACTTTATTAAGTCCTCTAAAGCGAATTGCTTTTGGGAGAGAGGGCACTCTTAATTAATTTTGAACTTATTGTTTTTTTTTTTTTAATGGGGAAAAAATATTATGTCAGTATTACGCACGTAGAAGTAACATGTGTAGTCAATGAAATCACGCCACGATATCCCCCGCGACAGGGAAAAAAAAGGCGCAGTAACACGGGGAATATTCCCCCATGTGTTATTCATATGTTATTGCGTGTTATTCATGTGTTATTATTTGTTATTGATGTGTTTTTGTGTTATTATAACACCAAGAATATTCTCAGGACACAATAACACATGAATAACAAAGGGAATATTCCCGACAGAAAAAAACGGCACAGTAATACGTGGGAATATTCTCCCCCGTGTTATTCATGTGTTATTGGTGTTATTCATGTGTTATTGATGTGTTATTATGTTATTATAACACCAGGAATATTCTCATGACACAATAACACATGAATAACACGCCCTTTTCTAGCTTGTTTTTTAGAAATATGCTTTCGAGTTATAAGAACGATCAATCTTAGTAAGTTTTATTTTTTTAAGATAATGTTTATGCCTTCATCTAAAACACACAAGCATTCATCTTCCATGGTTGATGACATCAACATCCAATAATCAAAGGAAACCCACCTAAATTTGGTCAATATCATTGATAGAAAATTGCAGTAAACCATCAAGAAGTTTTATTGACCCAAGCAACCTTAAAGGGCCTAGAATGCCTCAAGACCTTAAGATTTAATCTTATTATGGTTCTTAGATCTAAAATCTTGTTACTACCCAAAAAAGTTACACTTCAAAAGCCATCTCATTATATCAAATAAAGATATAGAAGATATTGGCCCCCTTCAATACATTGGAATTGAGAGCAATAGAGTGAATAATATGCACAACAACATCATAGACATCTTCTAAAATCAATTCATTATAATAACCAAATTATTTTTCAGTTTAAGTCAATATAATCACCAATGCTTTGCTTTAATACAATCTCAAAACAAATTGTAAAGTCTTAGCAGTTTTGAAATGTTGCTAATGTTTTGTAATAATTTCCTTGGGTTATAGTGTCAATTGTTTTGTCCCTCGAGAGATTTAGAAGTCCTCGGGAGTGATGAGTTGAAGATATTTCCACGTGTTCAATGCTTATCCATAAGCTTTTACTATGAAGTTCAGAACATTAAACCAATTGGTTTACATCATATATTAACCTGTTGACAAACAAATGAATAATTAAAAAAAAAAATGACTCAACTTGACACCTAACCACGAGTTCCTCGAATAATGTCAAATAGTCAGAAACCCTAAACAAACAAAAACATTTATGGTCGAGCAATTGTTTATCAATTAAATTTGCGTGCTAGCAAGTGGCTACCATACCAGCTGGCCACTTTGCCAAGGCTACCTAACATACCTTTTCTTTTTCCTCTCACTCTCTCCCCCTGAACCTCACTCACTGAAGATATCTATTTCACGCCAACCTATCTAACCCACCGTACTAACAAAATTAACTGCTCGTATAAAGTCAATCTAAACAACAGCAGGAAACAAGTAAAACTTCCATCTCAATCCAGGCCCATCAAAAATCAGACACAACAAGACGTACCTGGATTTCGAAACATCGTATATATTCCCTTTAATCGCCATCAGAAGAGGTTTCTTAGGATCCGATCCATCGTAAGCTCTCAGCTCCTCGATCGTCACATCCCCGATCTCGACAGGTTCGAGAGGTAATTCCGGCTCCGACACCACCGATCTACTCTCCGCCGCCGCCGCCGCCTCCACCGGCGAAACAAACATCCCACAGACCATGTGGTAGACGCCAACCATAACCGCCAGGATAGTAAAAAAGGCAACCGGCGAAAGCCCCGTGTACGAGTAAATCGTCTCTGCGACAGTCGAGTAGAGGTCCATGACTCCCATTGCCGGATTAGGGTTTTCTTCCTCGCCTTCACTCTGCTATTAGATGTTCTTGATGGTGGAAACTTCAGGGATTTCGATTTCTGAAGCGTCTCGATTGATAAAGCAGCAGCTGCGGTGGATCACAGGCAGCTACTGTGGCGGGAAAAAAGTGATCGAGAAGACGTACAGATTGGATTTTTCAAAGTAGGTCTTTATGGCCGAAAAATTTGTTGAATTCTGCGCCTAAAGTTACTTTATTAAGTCCTCTAAAGCGAATTGCTTTTGGGAGAGAGGGCACTCTTAATTAATTTTGAACTTATTGTTTTTTTTTTTTTAATGGGGAAAAAATATTATGTCAGTATTACGCACGTAGAAGTAACATGTGTAGTCAATGAAATCACGCCACGATATCCCCCGCGACAGGGAAAAAAAAGGCGCAGTAACACGGGGAATATTCCCCCATGTGTTATTCATATGTTATTGCGTGTTATTCATGTGTTATTATTTGTTATTGATGTGTTTTTGTGTTATTATAACACCAAGAATATTCTCAGGACACAATAACACATGAATAACAAAGGGAATATTCCCGACAGAAAAAAACGGCACAGTAATACGTGGGAATATTCTCCCCCGTGTTATTCATGTGTTATTGGTGTTATTCATGTGTTATTGATGTGTTATTATGTTATTATAACACCAGGAATATTCTCATGACACAATAACACATGAATAACACGCGGGGGGGGAGGGGGGAATATTCCCCGTGGTACTGCGCCGTTTTTTTCTCTCTGTCGTGTGGGGTGTCGTGGCGTGATTTCATTCGTGATTTCATTGGCTGGCTGCGCACGTTACTCTACGTGTGTAGTACTGATGTAATATTTTTTTTTCCATTTTGGGAGAGAGGGTGGCTTATATGCTCCTTTTGCATTTTGAAAATCCAACTCATGAGTTTGATTTTCGCGTTTTACTTGTGTATCCTTAAACATTGATCAGATTTTTTTAATAAATGCGGCCGCTAGATCGGCCTCGTGGCCCTCATTCTTAAGTTTACCAGTTTGCTCTTTGTTCCTCGCTCGACCCCAGCCATTCCTTGTCGAAGTTTCGCGTCGTCATGCTCTTCACCATTTCCGTCATCATTCCCGACGCAAGACCGAAACTGATGAGCCCTTATTCCACGTTTATGATGGAAGTTCTAAGTAAACTAAACATGCATACTAGTAAAATTTCTTCAGTGTAAGGTTAAAAATATGGCTAAACTTGTTTCTCTTACTCACGCAATTAGATCATTATGATCATCTAGTCATGGACACATCACTATATACACTTGAACAAGTGCATAATAAAGTTGTAGTGATGTTGCTAATAGCTACAATTCATCATTAAGTATGGTTAAATTTAAGATTTATAAACTGAATTTAATCACAGTTTTTTTTTTTAGATTAATGTTGAGATGGTAACAATATGCACGATTGTTTAGATATGAGGTTTTTTTTTTTCTTATAATGAAATGAAGTTGTTTGGTATAGGAATGTGGTGCAAGGATATATATGCACGCCATTAAAATTCTTGATTTATGTGCAATAGTTTTAATATATTGCACTCCGTCCTTATAAATCGGAAGACAGTATTGGATAAGAATTTTTTTGCTTAGCAAGTATTAAATATATTACAATAATAGTTCTGTTGCAAATAATAATACTACACAGAGGCAGAACGATTATTTATCCAGAAATAGTTGTTATTTTCTAATCGCACAAATCAAACAACCAGATACATACATACATATATATATACATACATACATAGATATATATATACATACATATGTATATATATATAGATATATATATATATATATATA